CACAGATCCTGCAGGCAAGGACATCCCCTCAGCATGCAGCATCCCCCCTGCCCAGAGAGGGTCAGGAAGGCAGGCAGGCTGAGTCTGCACCATTTCTGCACGTGTAACTTATAGATACTTAGGTTTCTAGTAAATAGGATCACAAACAACAAATCTGGAAGGGACAGCATTTTCCCAAGCATCCCATGCTACAGCAACAAAGAGCATCGTCAAGGAACAGCAACTGCCTGCCTTGCTGCTGGGGAGTGCCCACTCCCCTGCTCCTGTCCTAGGTGTTACAGAATCACAGAACATTAGGAGTTGGAAGTGGCCTCGAAAGCTCATCCAGTCCAACCCCTGCCAGAGCAGGATCACCAGACCAGGTCACACAGGAACACGTCCAGGCGGGTTTTGAATGTCTGCAGAGAAGGAGACTCCACAACCTCTCTGGGCAGCCTGGGCCATGCTCTGGCTCCCTTACAGTAAAAAAAGTTTTTCCCCATGTTCAGGTTAAACCTCTTGTGCTCCAGCTTGCACCCATTGCCCCTTGTCCTGTCATTGGCTGTCACTTAGAAGATTCTGTTACCACATTGACAATAAAAAAACAGTGGCAACTTTGCCACTCAGATTAATTTTTCAGGATGAAAAAGATCCAGCAGTGAACACGCCTCCAAATAGTCCAACCCCACTGGTACTTACGTCTCCATTTTGGTTGGTGCAGGACACCGTCCCTCTTGTTTAGCCAGATGGAGCCCCCGACGCGGTGGGACTGCAGCAGTTTGCTGAAGGAAATCTGCTCACTGTCCTGGGGTTCAAAAAGCACCTGAGCAAAGCGATGCTCGCAGTATCTGTCTGCGTGCCACCAGTCCAAAGCAGTGGCCACATAGTCGTACACATATCTTGAGGTCTCAATCGTGACAGGAGCAACACCTGGAGAAAGAGACAAATAACGTGGAGAAACAAAACAGTGCTTCCGCGAGGCACCCAAAACCATGCCCGAAGCTCACTGCGGTACGGCCAGGGTCTGCCCTCAGGGTAGCTTGCTCAAAGCACATATGTACCAGCAATTCTTCTCACTTTATCCCCATTTCCCACCTCCCGCCAGCTTCTGCATTTGCAGATGCAAGTTGCCAGCACAAAGTAATCTGTTTTGTACGCAGTTAGAGCAGCACAAAGAAGCAGCTGAGCACGACTTACCTGATTTTAAACAGCAGTTCCATGGTTAGCCAAGCAAATACTTAGCCATGCAAATATAATTTCAGGCATAAAATAGGGTATTGGAAAAAGTTTCTTCACCTTCGTTTCTGCCACTGGACACCTTTTTATGCATTGTTTCTCTGTGCTGAATATAGCTTGTAAAAACATACAGAAGTGCTGACAGAAACACTAACCTTTAGAAGTCTGATTCTTGGCAAGGGCTGCAAAGGCAAAGAGGCTCCTGGACAGACTGCCAACCTGTGGGAGAGGATGTTTTGTAACCTTCACATAAAGCATTAATATTATCTCAAACACTCAAATTACAAAAATTGCTATAAAACTCACCAGAAAGCTGAAGAACCAAGAATCAGGTCTCAAGTCTCTCCTAACCATGCTGACTGGCTGGAAAGCTTTCACCTTTTGCTAGAATAAACAAAATATCACTAAAGATGCATCATGGAGAGAGAAGCATTCTGCAGACAGCCAGTTCCCAGGCACGCCTGCTCTCCTCAGAGTCCCGAATTAAAAAAGAGAAAATGACTCTGAAATACCTGTCCTGGATAGTATCCTGTCAAAATAACTCTCAGTTCTTCTTAAAGAACTCAAGGTTTAACATTTATTTCCAGGATACAGGATAATTAATAAAAAAGCATATACACGTGTGATATTAATAGACAGGCAAATTAGCAGAGCCTCTTTACCTGCATTAACTAAGTTAAAAAAGCCATCATAAATCACATTGTTAAACAGAGTCACATCACTGGCAGATTTTCTAATTTCTTTTAAAGCTCATGGGAATACATCCTCAGAGCAGATCCTGCTGAGCAGCAAATCCAGGCTTCCCAAGCGGTGCCTGAAAAGGCAGCTCAGCGTCCTGGAGTCGACCCAGAGAGGTGCCCAATGCCCTGGGTCTGCCCAATGCCCTACTGCACCACCTCTGTGGACTACAGAGCTGTCCCAGAGAGCTGCCCAATGCCCTGGGTCTGCCCAATGCCCTACTGCACCACCTCTGTGGACTACAGAGCTGTCCCAGAGAGCTGCCCAATGCCCTGGGTCTGCCCAATCCTCCACTGCACCACCTCTGCGCAGGTGCAAGGAGAACCTGAGTGTGAGGCCACGTAAAATCTAGTAAAGTCGTAGATGAGGGTACGTAAAGATACAAACATGAAAACTGGCAATGTGATCTCCAGTGCAAACAAGTCCTAACGCTGTCTCTGGGTGCTGACACCACCAGCCGTGAGTAATCTCCGTGCTCGCAATGGGACTCTCTCCTAAATGCACACACTAATAACATTTTGCTACTAAGGGACTACGGAGACCAGTTCTGCAGCCCAGGCTCTCAACACGTTCACCCGCAGCCTTCCGAAGCACAGGAGTGACTTGGTAAACGCAGGTACAGCTCCGAGCCCCCTAAACGTGCCCATCCCATCGGCGAGCAACGGAGCCGGGGACACTGCCCACGGAGCCGGGCACTGCCAACCGCCCGCTCCGCCGCTGCCTTCACTGCGCCGTGGGCGGCCCTGGAGGTGCCATGGGGATC